ATATTAGGCCTACCTTTGTGTATTGTTGTTACAACATCATTGAGTATACTACTTTTATTCATTTATTGCCCCATTTGCATCTTGCCCAGAAGAGTGCTATGGAAACTTAACTGTCTTAGAATGTCAGCTCTATTAAGACAGGGAGTTCTGTTTATAAGTATTCCCTTGTACCTGAAACAGTGCTGAGTATATATATAAGGAGCTCAATAAATACATGCCAAATGAATGAAAAAGATTCACAGAGCTTTTATTACATCAGTTTAGTAGTCTGGTTGTTCTTTCCAATAACACAGGTTTTTAATAGCTAACTATGAAGTCAAACAATTATAAAGTAATTCATTAATAAATTCATTAATCTTGTTTTTGAATAAAAACAAGATTGTGAAGTTGGAATTTTTAATTATATCAGCCTCAACTCTTTGTTTCAGTATTTTGCTTTGATTTACAATAGTTAGATAATATTAATTTACACAGAGATGCACTTGTAAACATTAACATTTTTTTAAAGAATAGTTCATTGATTTTTAGAGAGAAAGGAAGGGAGAGGGAGAGAGAAAGAAACATTGATGTGAGAGCTCATCATGGATTGGCTGCCTCCTGCATGCCCCTTACTGGGGATCCAGCCCACAACCTGGGCATGTGCCCTTGACCAGGAATCAAACCAGCAACCTCCCAGTGCACTGGATGATGCCCAACCAACTGAGCCACACCAGCCAGGGCTTAACTTTGTTTTTAAAAACAGTTTATTCTGAAATCTCAGGATATTCTTTCATTAAGCTAGACCCAAACTTGAGAGTAAGAAATTTTTGTTTCAAAGAGAAACTGTAACAATATCTAATATCTAATCATACACTTAGTCTTCAGTATGAAAGCTGAACCAAACCTGCCCTAATTTACAGTACATGTTGCACTTTGCTACTCAGAACAGAGGTTCTCCAACCAGCGGCAATGGACATTACTTGGGAGACTATTTGCAATACAGTCTCAGGTCACACTTCACATAGGTAGAATCAGAATTTAAATTTTAATAATAATGAACAAAATAGATCCAGAGACATGGAAGCATGGAACAGACTGATGAATCTCAGAGGGAAGGGGTGGGGGAGAGATTAACTAAAGAATTTATAAGCATATATATATAACCTGTGCATACAGACAATAGTGCAATGAAGGCACCTGGGTGGGGCTGGAACAGGGTGGAGGGGGTCACTGGAGGAAAAAAGGTGGGGGAACATCTGTAATACTTTCAACAATAAAGATAAAAAAACTTTAATAAGAATCCTTTGTGATTTAAATGCACATTGAATTTTGAAAAGCACTGTCAACTTTAGTAGGTGTAGGGTGGACCTGAAATTCTGCACTTCAAACAAGCTCCCAGGTGATGCTGTTGCCACTAGTCCATGAACCACATGTGGACCAGCAAGGTGCTACAACTTTTATCATAATGAGAAAGTTATACAGTTACATGTATTGGCTCTCAAGCTGTGACAAGAACACATACCCGGGAGATAGACCTGAGTTAACTCACCAGTTATTTGAGCACAAAGTAAATATGCCGTAATGGTGTATTTATTCTCATGTACATTTTTTAAAGTGTATATGTGCAAACCTGGATTAAAAAATTCTGGAGAACTACATCTTTTTATATCTTTGACACAGAAGTTCAGATATTATGCATAGAAATGTCAGCAAACGCATTATTCTTAGATCTATATAAAAATGAATTCTCCTGGCAGCACAAGCCAATGTGTATGTTTGCATTTCTGGTTTCCAAAACAGTTAAAAATGTATTTCAGAAGTGAAACAAATACCCAGAACTGGAATCTCACAGTTTGAAAACCATTGGTAAAGTGAAAAGACTGAGCATTTGTCACTAATATACTGTTGGCTTTAGGCCCAAATCATAGCCTTTCTGGACGACTTTTTCTTCCATCAGTAAAATTAAAGGTTCCGACTAAATGATCTTTTTCTTAAGTTGAATTCTTAACTTCTGTGCTTCTATACTTTGTTAGTCAGTGTAGATACACACACACACACACACATTAATATTAATATTTACATATATATATAAAATGAGATTCATTATAAGAAATTGGCTCATAAAACTATGAAGGCTGAGTAGTGCAATGATCTGTTGTCTGCACACTGGAGGACCCAGGAAAGTTAATGGTATACGATTCTAGTCCGAGTCCAAAGGCCTGAGAACAAGGAGAGCCAGTGTTGCAAGTTCCAGTCCAAGGACAGAAGAAGACCAATGTTTCAACTCAACAGTCAGGCAGAGAGAGAGAGAATTCAACCTTCTTCTGACTTTTTGTCTTTGGGCCCTCAATGGGGACCCCAATCTGCTCTACTCAGTTCACCAATTCAAATGCAGAGACACTCTCACTGGCACACCCAGAAATAATGTTTAACCAGATACCTGGGCAGCCTGTGGTCCAGTCAGGTTGACGCACACAATTAACCACAACTGCCCTGGCTGGTTTTGCTCAGTGGTTAAAGCCTCAGCCCGTGCGTGGAGCAATGAGTCATGTGTTCAATTCCGGTCAATGGCACATACCTTGGTTTTGGTTCATCCCCGGCCCTGGTTGGGGTCATGCGGTAGGCAACCAGTTGATGTGTCTTCTCTCACATCGATGTTTCTCTCTCTCTCTCCCTCCCACGCTGAAGATAAATAGAAAAATATCCTCAAGTGAGTATTAAAAAAAAAAAAAAATTAACTACAACTTATGTCTTGCTCTGCAGCCTGATAGAACTTATAGTTTCATGAACTCCAGTTCCTTGATTATAGGGGTTGGTATGGCATAGTGTAGAGCCAAGGATTTGAGCTAATAGATTAGGGTGTGTCCTTGAGCAAGTAACAAACTTCAGGTGAGGATCTGTAAAATGGAGGTTATATTGGGCCCAGCCAGTGTGACTCATTGGTTGAGCATCGACCCATGTACCAAGAGGTCCCCAGTTTGATTCCTGGTCAGAACACATGCCCAGGTTGTGGGCCCAATCCCCAGTGGGGGGCATGCAGGAGGCAGCCAATTGATGTTCTCTTTCATTGATGTTTCTCTCTCCCTCTCCCCTATTCTCTCTCTAAAATCAATAAAGAGCCCTGGTCAGTTTGGCTCAGCAGTTAGAGCGTCAGCCTGTGGACTGGAGAGTCCCGAGTTTGGTTCCCGCTAAGGGCACGTACCTTGGTTGCAGTTTGTCCCCAGCTCCGGTTGGGGTCGTATAGGTGGCAGCCACTAGATGTGTTTCTCACGTCGATGTTTCTCTCTCTCTTTTCCCCCCTCTCTTCCTCCTGATCTATCTGAAGATGAATGCAAAAATGTCCTCAGGTGAGGATTAAAAACAAAAACAAAAAATAAAGAAAAAGAAATTTTTTTTTTAATCCTCACCTGAGCACATTTTTCCATTTTTTGTTCAGATAGAGTGGGAGGGAGAGAGAGGAAGAGAGAGAAACATTGACGTGAAAGGGACACATTGAGTGTCTGCCTCCCGCACAACCCAACAGGGCCGGGGACAAACTGCAACCAAGGTACGTGCTCTTAGCGGGAACCAAACCCCGGTTTCTCTGGACCGCAGGCCGATGCTCTAACCGCTGAGCCAAACCGGCCAGGGCAAGAAAAAAAAATTTTTTTTTAAATGGAGGTAATATTGGTGCTTAGGCGATGCATAGTTTCGAGGATTAAAGTAGGTAATGCATGTAAAGCACTTAGTGTATATTACTCAATATATGTTACCTGTAGTTTCTTTTCCAGATGAGAAAACTGAGGTGGAGAAGTAAATAATTTGTCTGAGATTCAATATTCCATTATTATAGACTTGGATCTAGATGCTAGATCTTCCAATTCTCAATGCAGTCTTCTCTGAAGTAGGGAACATGCAGGAGGCAGCCGGTCTTGATGGCTTTGCTGAAATGTCCACCTTTTAAACTTGAAAAAAAAAATTTGCCTGGCCAGATAGCTCCCCACTGGCCACATTGCTTTCTTCCTTTTTTTCTTTTTTTCAAAATATGTTTTTATTTCTTTTTTAGAGAGAGAGGAAGGGAGAGAAAGATAGAAACATTGAGATCGGCTGCCTCCTGCATGCTCCCTACTGGGGATCGAGCCTGCAACCTGGGCATGTGCCCTGATGGGGAATCAAACTGGGACCTCTCAGTCCATGGGATAACACTTATTCCACAGAGCCACACCAGCTGAGCCACATTGCTTTCTTTTTTTTTTATCCTCATCCAAGGACATTTTTGCAATTATCTTCAGATAGAGTGCAAAGGAGAGAGGGAGGAAGAGAGGGAGAGAAACATTGATGTGAGAGAGACACATCGACTGGTTGCTACCCACATGACCCCAACTGGAGCTGGGGACAAACTGCAACCGAGGTACATGCCCTTAGTGGGAACCGATCCCTGGACTCTCTGGTCCACGGGCTGAACCAGCCACATTGCTTTCTTTATGTGTCATTTTTATTTTTTGTTAGAATGGTTTGTGATTGTCTGAACAGTTTTACCTTTACGTTATATTAAATTCTATATACTAGGGATATAGTTGATCAATTTTTAAGTTTTTTTTAACAGCTACTTTTCTAAAGAGAATGATGTGTGTTTGTGTGTATAAATTGTGTATGTATATTAAATATTACATCTTTTTGCCCTGGCCGGTTTGGCTCAGCAGTTGGAGCATCAGCCTGTGGACCAGAGTTTTGGGTTCGGTTCCTGCTAGGGAGGGGCATGTACCAAAAAAAAAAAATTACATCTTTTCTTTACAATTTTAGATTCTCAGATAAGATGGCTATTTTCTCCTACTGTTTCTATCACTTTCATTTTGTACATAATTTTTTGTTCAGAAAAAAATTATGACCAAGCAGCAATTTCTCTCCCTCCCTGCTTACTGACAATAAGGTTGATTCATGAGCAACTTCAGTTTGACAATTGGTTTTATAAATGTTATGATATACTCACTTTGATTTTAGTTCTTAATTTTAACCTTTTAAAATTTTTTTTTCTCTTGCAGTTGAAAACAATCCCCGAACAGGAAACCTTGGTGCATTAATTAAGGTCTTCCTTTCTAGAACCAAAGAACTAAAACTTTCAGCAGAATGTCAGAAGTAAGCTGGCTGATTAATCATATTCTTTTTATATTTAACAAGATGAGTATTTTTGGTAGAAATCGATTGTGGTCTTTTGAAAGCTGTTAAAGAAATTATTCTTATTATTAAGGGAAAAAGTAAAAGAGCTTTTAATTTGCTGTCCAAGTCATTGGGGTGAGATGATAAATTCTGGAATTTGATTTCAGCATTTTAGACAATCTTTAGAAATACATTCTTTAAGAATATTAATAGTGATATAATTATTACTAAAAAGATTATTCCCCATTATTACTTCTGGTCATATGACTTAGTTTGAGTATTATTTCATTCTACATCTATTTTCTTAATTTTTTCCATTAGATGAAAGGAGATTCAGATTAGATATTACAGTTTTATATTAGATACAATGGAAAGCTAACCTTTTATGTGCTTAAGTATTTTTTAACACCATTTTTTCTGGCTAGCTCTTAAAAGATTGTTCATTACCCAGCTTTCAGGCAAATAGTATTGAATCCAATTAAATTTTTTCTTTTGAGTTCACGGTTATTAATGCAAATAGCAAGTATTATATTGTGCTACTGGTGATACTCCTTAAAAATTTGGTGGTATATTTGCATATATTGTGTTTACAGTACTGTGTATTTTTAATTTTTTTTATCTTTCTTTTCTTTGAATTGCCTGTATATATGTATATATATATATATATATATATTTTTTTTTTAATCCTCACCTGAGGATATTTTTTACTTTTGTCTTCAGATAGAGTGCGGGGGGTGGGGGGCATCGATGTGAGAGAGACACGTTGACTGGCTGCCTTCCACACGACCCTGACCAGGGCTGGGGACCTGACCGCAACTGAGGTAGGTGCCCTTGACTGGAATCGAACCTGCGACTCTTTGATCTGCGGTCTGATGCTCTAACCACTGAGCCAAACCAGCCAGGGCAAGGAAAATATTTTTATTAAGTAAAAATGTAAAATACATAGAATGAAATATGAAGTAAAGTGTAATAGATTTATTTCACTGGTTTAGTGTCATAAATCATGAGCCTTGAAAAGCTATGGACATTGTTCTAATATTACAAACAGAATGGGAAAAATGATTGAGAAATCGTGAAGAAATCATTGACTAGAAATAAACTGATTATGCTCATGATAAATATTGATTCTTGTGTGATCTTGGTCTTTTCTTTCTAGTCACATCTTCATTTGGCAGACAAACAATGCTTTGTTTATTATTTGCTATTTGCTGAAAGTGTTCATTTGTGAGATGTCAGAGGAGGAATTACAACTTCATTTTACTTATGAAGAAAAGTCTGGCAGTTGCAGTAAGTATTGCCTTTGAAAATGTTTTGGTATCATGTGTAACATTAAGCACAAAATTTGAGGAATAAAATTGTAATTTTGAAAATTCTGTTTTCCTCTTATAATTTTTATTTTTAAATAATCTGACTCTGTCACTCTTTCTTCCCGTGTTAATTTTAAAGAACCAAGACTCTCATTGTGTTTTTCCTTTATTTTAGAATAAGGAATCCAGTAGGATTGAGACTTTTATTTATTTTGACTTCCATGCATATAGAAAATAAAAATAAAAATCACAAGTATTTCTTTCAGGAAACAGATGTCAGTTTAAATACCATTACTAGGGCAGTACATTATTAAGTGAGACAGCCAATCAGAATTATAGGTTTTATAAATATTAAAGGTTACTTTCATAGGATATAACAACAGTCTCTGAGTCTGGGTGTCTTTGGGACTACTTGATTAGGGACATTTTCAAGGACAGTTTTATGATGCTGATGTATGTCATCGTTTTCTGAAGATACAGGAAAAGGTTACTATTTTCTCCTGATACTGCTGAGATTTTCTTTTTTGCCAGTAGTTAGAAGGTCTGTAGTTTTCAAGATCAACTGCTTGTGTTTCATTTCTTAGCATTAAAACTAACAACCTGGAAAGTAAAAGGGGAGAAGGGGATTGTTAACAAATGAAATATGGGGAATGTACTGTTTTGCGTCTGCCCTTCACGCTATCTCCTGTCTTTCTGAAGGCAAAGGCAGTGTTGCTCTTGGATTTCCTGGGTTTATTTTTCAAAACACACCTTTGTCCTCATTAGGTGTTCTTGCCTACCTAGAGCTTTATACATTGATTTTGAGTTTTATGACATGAATGTTGAATTTCCTACTTTGATAATCGGCCTTCCAAATTTGTTAACTATGTACCTCTGTTTTAAAACTAAGCTAATCAAATTGTGTTTTGCATGTGTTAGTTTTCTTACTTCTAGGCTTTGTTTTTGTGGGACCAACAGTGCCAAAACATAGTTCACTTAAGGAGTTGCAAACCATTCCAGGAAGTTCTAGCAGCAAGAATGGAGTGAATGTTTATCCCGATAGGGTCTAAGCGGATAGCACCTGTAACTTACCATGTTGTTTTGCATTATGTAATAAAATTGTGCATATATTATACTTTCATTTAACACAATATCAATTATCTTAATATAAAGTTATTTTTCATTACTTACCAGTGAGTAAATTGATGCACTTGAGAGATACACTGTATTTGTTTTGGGGTCAAATGTCCTCCTGGAGTACCCTCTCTGAACCTGCATTCCCTACTCTGTAAGCATGGTTTTGTTGAACATCCTAGGTGGCCTAAGGTGGAGGCAATGTGAAAATGACACTTTTCTAACCATGGCCAGATTGTCAAGATGGTTGTCTCATTGAAAGACCCATTTGTAAGGTGTGATGATTGGAGATTCTGTCCGTGTACTGACAGATTGTCCTCTTTTATACAGTTAGCAATTCAGAGTTTTTACATGCTCTTTTAATTTTGTTCTTTTTATTTATAGTTGAGTTTCCTGTTGGTCCACCAGCTTAAGTCCAGTGAATATCTTTTCAAGATTAAAGACTTGCTGTTTTTGACATATGTAATTATTTTCATCTTAGCCTTACATGTTGTTAGTCTGTAACTTCTTTTTCTTATCACATAGTTTAAGTCTTTTTTATATTTTCTGCCAGTGTGTTTTTACAATTTATAAAAGTGTGATGCGCCCTGGCTGGTGTGGCTCAGTTGGTTGAGCGTCATCCCATGCACCAGAAGGTCGCCAGTTTGATTCCTTGTCAGGATACGCCCAGATTTTGGGTTCAGTCCCCAATCAGGGTGTGTGTAGTAAGCAGTTGATAGATGTTTCTCTCTCGAGTTGATGTTTCTCTCTCTCTCTTCTCTTCTCCATTCCTCTCTAAAATCAATAAAAATATTTAAAAAACAAAACAACAAATAAAATTGTGATGTAATTAAATGATTGCATAGATACTGTTGAATTGGAAAATATGGAACCTTACTATGCAATAGCTGAAAACACTCATTTATCAGCTAATAATATCTGAGTATCTGAATTAGGTGAGTGAAGGACTGTTTCGGATAGATAATATACAGGTTGAATTGACAGTAGCGAACTATTTGCAAACAATTGAGCAAAGTCAGCTGAAGCATTTTAGGATTGTTGAATGATTATGGCATACTGAATTTTGTTATTTATTCCAATTCCTTGTACTACTGATGTGATCAAATGGATATTGCTGGTGTATTCAGGGGAGCCATTTTTATTAGGGTAATGTGATTTTCAGTAAGCTCTCAGTATGTAGTAGAAATTTGAATGTTTTCTGATAGGCTATGTGTGATGTGGTGGTAGATTGTTTGCTAGAGACAATTTGTGTCATTATGTAAAGAAAGCTCTTTCCACTATTCCATGCCTTTGAGAATAGTTGGTGGGATCAAAGCCAGCCTTAGGCAAAACTAAAGTACCACAAAATTTTTCCGCTTTCCTTTTGCCTCCAATGTGAGTTTCCCTTTCCTCTCTCTTGGGATTATACCCCATTCTTGCCAAGGTAGTAACTGATCTTTATTTTACAGTTTGTATATCATAAATACAGGGTAGAGCAAAGTAGGTTTACAGTTGTTTGTATGGAAAATAATACAGTAATTAATAAATAATAATATAAGAATAAACTTTCACATACTCAGAACTGTAAATCTACTTTTAGCCCACCCTGTATAATATTTTAAGTCCTTAAGTGTCTAAATCTGTTATTGGTTTATGCAAACACTTATGGTGGCTTGTTTCCTTATGTATTTAATGATGTTGATTATGAACTTTTATATGTTTTGCCTGAATATGAGACCCCAAATAAGGGATCCAGGGACTGTACCACTAGAGGCCACTTCACCCTCCTTCAGCAGTTCTTGACTTAATGTGGCATCTCAGGTTCAGCTTCTCTTCCATGCCACCAGCTGAAGGCTTAGTCTACTAGTATTGGCTTGTATTGGCATTCATCTTCAGGCTCACCCTTCCCTTGGAGTTTGCTTACTGCTCAGTGTTTTACTCTGGATGTAAGCCACAGTTTGTTTGCTTGTAGTGGTTCTTTTTGGTTATGGTGCTGGGATCCTTGGAGATTTCCTTTATTTTCTGGAAGCCTGTCAATGCACTAAAAATTATATTTTAGCCAAGAACTTGTTGTTTTGTGCAGGGGGCCCTTTGGAGTAACTACTCCACTGTACTGCTGCCAGTAAAAGGCAAGTATAGCTTCTTTACAAATACTTTTTAATTTTTCAAATGAGGGAAGAAGCTTTTGGAGATGGAAGTGGAAAAATGGGGGGAAATAAGCTGAAAGGAAGAGGAGGCACTTGGATCAGGAGCACAGGGAGGAGAGGTTTACATTGTGAGAGTGTACTGCCTGTGCCCCCGAGTGGGCAGTTGTGTGGGTGCTGAGGAGAAGGTGGAGGCAGGTCATTTGCTGAGAGCTGGGGAGATCAGGGTATGTGGGTCTGAGGAGCGTAGTAACTAGTTAGCACAGTTTTGTGGAGAGAAGAGAGACTAGGGACTTGTCGAGTCCAGGGAAAAGGCTTGCTTAACTACATTTCCTTGGCATAAAATAGTTCCATATAAGTTTATTTTTAAAAATTATTTATTTTGTGGGACTTTCTCTCAAGCATGGTGAATTCAACATACCTGTTTATCTTTGCTTTCTCCTGAAACCCCAGTAAAATCAGTAAGGGACTTATAAAAAGTCATGAATTTACTTGGTTAAAGAGGAGGAAAAGGGGATATAATATTAATAACATTTTGCAAGTTGGAAAATTGAGTAATGGTGAAATTAACTGATCAGTGAAAGCTGAAAGCTAAGTGCCATCAGGGTTGGAGAACTCCAGGAAAAAGCCAGTTCTTGCCTTAGAACCCTGGAAAGGCTTAGGCGTTGGAAGTACCAGGCGTGTCCAAAGGCAGACAACTAAGAAGACTGATTGAAAGAAGCAGATGCCCAGATCCTCTGCTCTGCTATGCATAGTCATGAGACCACCCCTTCCCCAGTTTAATACTGTTCTGAGGGATTCCCTGAAGAGCACTCAGGCATGGGTGGGTGGGGGGCGGATTCTGAGAAACAGGCTTAAGCAAAAAGGATACAGACAGAAGAGTGAGATGTCTTGACTTGGCTTTTAAAATCCTGGCACCAGAGTTTTACTCACCCCACCTTCTTTCCCACCTGAAGATTGGTGGATATGCTCCTGGAGAAAATGAATGAAAAACAAGATTTATTGATAGTAGTTATCCTGACAGGTATGAGGTGATACCCCATTGTGGTTTTAATTTGCATTTCCTTGACAATTAGTGACATTGAGCATCTTTTCATATGTCTCATATGTCTATTGGCCTTCTCTATGTCCTCTTTGAAGAGGTGTCTACTCAGAAACTCAGAACACTAATTCAAAAGAATATATGCACCCCTGTGTTCATTGCAGCATTATTTACACTAGCCAAGCTATGGAAGCAACCCAAGTACCCATTAATAGACAAGTGGATAAAAAGCTGTGGTACATGTAATGGAATATTACTTGACCATAAAAAAGAATGAAATCTTACCATTTGTAACAACATAGATGGACCTAGAAGGTATTATGTTCAGTTAAATAAGACAATCAGAAAGACAGATACTATGTAATTTCACATATATGTGGACTCTAAAGAACAAAATAAACAAAAATGAATCAGATTAATAGACAGAGAGAGAACTGGTGGTTTGCCAGAGGGAAGGGAGTTTGCGGGACTGGGTGAAAGATGGGAGGGGGGCTGGAGGGATGGGTGAAAAGGTGAAGGGATTGAGAAGTACAAAGTGGTAGTTACAGAATAGTCATAGGGATGTGAAGTTCAGCATAGGAAATTTAGTCAATAATATTGTGGTAACTGTGTGTGTTGTCAGATGAGTTATTTGATTTAACAGGGTGATCACTTAGTAAGTTATATAATGTCCAATCAGTGACTTGTACAGCTGAAACTAAT